GGCTACTATGTATAGCCAAGACCTTATAGAATTCAGTTTCTTGGTTTGGAGGTTTAGAATTACATGGGACATCCCAGTTAATTTGCCTAATAACATGTTGAGTTCTTCTGTTTTACCTCCTAATTAATTTTGTAGTTCCTAGGATCTTAAAAGCTTGAAAGTGACCTTTTATATGCAATGATTGGTCTCTCTCTATTTGTCTGGAGGAACAGAGCAAGAAGTGTCAGGAATAGAAGGGGGGATTTGGAATGTATGGCTAATTGCCTCCATGAACAACTGCCTTTCTTTGCCACGAGAAGCCATAAAATCAGCTCTAATCATTCTAGTGGTGGCTATTATTATTATTCTTTTTGGAGGTGCTTGGGTAGGTAGGAGTAAGGGTTAGGGTTGGGACTATGGTTAGGTCTAGGGAAGGCCTAGGACTAGTTTATTGTTAAGGTTAGGGTTAGGACTAGGATTAGTATGAAAGATAGAGCTTGGGCTAGGGCTAGGAGTAAGACTTGTCTGGTTTTTAGTATTACAATTAGGTTTTATTTTTTTTTTAAATATATTTGATTTCTTCTTTATTAAGAAGGTCTATAACTACATATAACCACCATTTGTCTGTCAGTTTGTCATACTGTGGTGGCTTGTGAGTTGCTGTGATTTCAAAACCTATGCCACTAATATTTTAAATAACCAGCAGGGTCACCCATGGTGGACAGGTTTCACATGAGCTTCCAGACAAAGACAGACTAGGAAGAAAGAGTGACGAACTACTTTTGAATCTTTAGTCACCGAAAACCTTATGAATAGCAGAAAAACACTGTCAGATATAGTGTCAGAAAATGACTCCCTCAGGTTGGAAGGCACTCAAAATGTGACTGGGGAAGAGCAGCCTCCTCAAAGTAGAGTTGACCGTTATAACGCGAACGGAGTAAATCTCATGGGAGAAAAGCCCGCAGGACCTTCATTTGCTGATAGGGCACAACTCAAAATGAAGAGAAACAGCTGTAAACATCCATTGAAAATCAGAACATGGAATGTATGAAGTATAAATCTGGGAAAATTGGAAGTTGTCAAAAATGAAATGGAA